TAACTCCATTCTCAAAATGCAATAGGGCGGTGAGGGTGGTAAGCGCAAAGCATATTAAAAACCGACCTCATTAAGAATCATAGAGACCTCCTTAAACCCCTACATCAGAATGGGTGAGTCTAGTCATGGTAAGACTGATAGTGTCACTATTTAAAACATACGAGGGAACATGTTGTAACTTTCTTATACATATAATAGACACAATTCTAATATATATAATGGGAAAATTAAATTTCTTCGAATTTAGTTGTCCATTATTAGTTATAATTAATTGTGAGGACGCAATGTAACAATTAATAAATCGCGAGGGGTTAATATTCAAATTTATAAATCTCTATTATAAATAATATTAAATATTTAAATTCACTATTTAAATAATAAATAAATATTCAAATTAAAATAATCATATTCAAATAATATTTATCAATTTTCCAAATTTAAAAACATTTTAAATTTGGTATTTATCCATATTTAATAAATCTTCAAATTTGAAAAATAAAAAAAGGGAAACCTTAAGTTCGGCAGCCCCATATCATGGGCATAAACTCCCATGTCATGGCCTGCGATTAAAAGGTTTTAACAATTACAAAAATTTCAATCTTTCTCCTTTCATTCAATTTCAAACAAGCATTTATAGAAAATATGGATCTAGGGTGAATGTAATTATGTACAAATAGCTCTGATACAATTGTTGTGTTTTCTATGCATCAAATGTACTCTAAACTAGGTAGCGGAAAAATCGAAACTACGATATACCTAAGTGTACATGCAACCTATGGATATATGGTTTCATGCTAATTACATCAACCCTAAAAAAATACAAAGAAGAAAAACATACCTCTTATGTAGCCCTTGATCCCCATGCTTGAGATCTCGTCATCCACGAAGTTGCTTGGATGAGGGCACCTAAACCAAAATCCATCTAATGGTATCACACCCAATGACACCAAAGAGTGGAATAAAAATAACTAGGAGAAGGGTCAATTTCACAAACCCTAAGAGGGTTAGAAATCGTCCCTATGGGAGGAAGAAGAAGAGTTGGCAAAACTTCAAGCCAAAGTGCAAGGAAGAATGAAATCCTTAAGGCCTTATTTATAGACTTGGATCCCTTTGTAGGTTTTGTACTCCTTCCCATGTGGGATGGAATACCTAGAACGAAATTCACTCCCTTTCCCATGTGGGATGGAGTGATTTTCATCCAACCCTAATCCCATAAGGGTTCTCGAATATTCCTGATCAAACAGTTATTGATTAATTAAATATTCAACCCTTTAATTAATTAAACTGTTAATTAATTACCAAAATATATTTTCAATTAGTTTCTAATTAATTATTAACCATAATAATTAATAACCAATTTCTTCTTTAATTATTCTACTCAATTTGGGTCTTGAGGGCAACCCAAAAGGACCCTATTATTATTAGAAATATTATCAATAGTTAATGACCTTGGACACTCTTTCCAACACCCATCACCACCACTTGCCACACCACACTCACCCACCACCCACCACCATCACCACCACCCGCCACCAACACCCCCACCACCCACCACAACCACCACCCATCATACCACCCACCATTATGACCACCATCCCCCACTATCACCAACCACTACGCATCACCACCAGTCGCCACCACCACCCGTCACCACCACCCCCTACCCTACCCTACCACCACCACCCATCACCACCGCCCGCCACAATCACCCCTGCCAAGACCACCACCACATACTATCATGACCATCGACTACCAACCACCATCACCACCCATCACCACCACCCACCTCCACCACCTGTCACCACCATCCTATCCATCACCCACCAAAACCACCATACACCATTACCACCACCCATCACCACCCACCACCCCTTCACGTCATCACCACCCACCACCACCATCTTCACCACTACCCACCTCTCACTACCTATAACCACCACCACCATATGTGAGTAAATGGATATAATCACATAAATCGTATGTGATTATATGTATTTAATCACATAAATCACATGTGATTAAATACATATAATCATATTTGATTATATGTATCTAATCATATTTAATTATATGTATGTAATCACATTTAATTATTGAATCGAGTAAGCGGAAATGAATCTTGTCCACATAAATCATATGTGACTAGATACATGTTATCATATGTATCTAATCACATATGATAATATGTATTTAATCACATATTATTAATGTGGACAAAGATTTTTTTTTCACATATTGATTTAATAGTTATTCTCGCGTATATAATCACATGTAAAAATATGTACTTAATCATATATGATTTATGTGGTCGATATTTAATAGTTATTTTCATGTATATAATCATATATGATTATATGTATTTAATCACATATATTTTATCTGGACAATATTTATTGTCGTTTTTTGTATTCAATAGTTGGTCTCATGTATTTAATCACATGTGATCATATATATTTAATCACATATGATTAATGTGGACAAATATTTTTTTCACATCTTGATTTAATAGTTATTCTCGTGTATATAATCTCATGTGATTATATATATTTAATCATATATCATTTATATGGTCAATATTTAATAGTTATTCTCGTGTATATAATCACATGCGGTTATATGTATTTAATCATATATGATTTATGTGGTCAGTATTTAATATTTATTCTCGTATGTATAATCAAATGTGATTATATGTATTTAATCACATATGTTTTATCTAGACAATATTTATTTTCGCGTTTACAACTCAATAGTTGGTCTCATGTATTTAATCAAATGTGACCATATGTATTTAATCACATATGATTAATGTGGACAAAGTTTTTTTTTTCACATCTTGATTTAATAGTTATTCTCGTGTATATAATCACATGTGATTATATGTATTTAATCATATGTGATTTATATGGTTAATATTTAATAGTTATTCTCGTGTATGTAATCACATGTGATTATATGTATTTAATCATATATGATATATGTATTTATTCATATATATATTTTTTTATTTTTTGATTCAATAGTTGTTATTGTGTATATAATCACGTGCGATTATATATATATATATATATATATATATATATATATATATCTAATCACATATAATTTATATGGACTTTATTTGTTTTTACGTTGTCGATTCAATAGTTTTGTCATGTATTTATTATTTAATCACACGTGATTATATGTATTTAATCACATATGATTAATATGGACAAAGAACAACTATTGAATCAATAACCTAAAAATGAAACTTGTTCACATAAATCATATGTGATTAAAAAATCTGTAAATGCAAACCTATAATAACCTAAAAAATATATTCTTCGGCTCTAAAAATAACTTGGAAGTAACCAATAACGAATTAATTAATAAAAACAATGACGATAAACCACCAATTAACTAATAGAGGTAAATAAACTCATGACAAACTATTTATTGTTCAAACTCTATGATCACTAGAAGATAAAAAAAAATGGGACCTTTTTTATAAAATATTTCAACTTGAAGTCATCGGTAGATCAAATAGTAAAATTAAATGTCAACCCACCTTGGAAATGTTGAACTGATATGATTAGAAGAGGTAGGATTTGGTCTGTAATCAAAAAATTATAATGTCATGTATTGCTTATATTGATCAGATAAATATGAATAGTATTTTAAGTGTACATTTAACTTTTTGTGATCTGAGAAAGTGATTTGTAAGTTATAAATATCAATTCTATAAAAGATTACGATTAACATATAAAGTTAAAATAACAGTTCACAATTACATCTTTACACATGTAAGTCAAAATTACCTCAAAAAGTCAAAGATCTTTTGAATGTGCAATTTGAAAATGCATGGCTGCTTCAATTTGGGAGCATGGCTACGTGAGCTACAAAGTGCTTTATTTTACTAATTCAGAAAGCATATATGAATAAATATTGATTCCCGCATTTAAAGGGGATGGGTCAGAGAAAAGCCCAAAATCTAAAGGAGAGAAGTTTCGATTCCTGCATTCGTCAGGGATGGGGATGAAGATGGGGACGGGGTTAGGCACTCGGGAATGGGGACAAGGATGGTTAACTCCGCCCCATCCCCACCCAAACTCATTGCCTAATTTATTTTGATGTGTTTTCAAATTGAAAACTATGAGACTATGATTAAGGGATGGTTTTTTTAGAAGGCATCGACTTGTGGGGTACTAGAGAACACCTCACATTTTGATTAACTAAGCTTTGGAATTACTTTTTGGGACCATTTGTTACCCACATAGCTTTTAAACCCTAGAACTTTTATTTTAAAGCTAAAGTGGGTTTAAATGTTTGTTTTCTAAATATCAGGGCGATGGGTATTACAGTAGCAAAGACTTATAATAACTTAATAGAAAACAATCTCGTTTTTGTGGTTCTAAAACCTAACCGAGAGACAAGCAAGTGCAATTAAGTCTAATCATTTTGTCAAAATTGAAAAATATGAGAACTTAATGTCAAAAAAAAAAGAAAAAAAATTAGTGTCAAAATTGAAAAATAAAAATAAAAACCTAATTAGTGATTTTTGTGTCATTTTTTAAATTTAGATAATTAAATATATAATTAAATATGTCATGTCAACATGTCACTGTGGTGGCAACCGGGTGCCGGTAATTAATGGTCAATATTGCAACAAATCTTAAACATAATGTTTGAATTACAAAAAGTGTCAAAATCGAAAAAAAAAAACAAAAACATAATGATTTTTGTGCAATTTTCCTTTTATTAAAATATACAGTTCTGATCATCTCCAACATACGACCGATTTATATATACAAAAACAAATATAATCATCTTTAAATTTAATATGATAGAATTCCTTTTTTTTCTTCCATCTCGTTGCGTATATCAAAATTGCTCATGCCTCATGCATGAATTTAGCTAATCTCATTCATTCACGTAAACCTACATTTATAAATAGAGCACAATTCAATGATTCGTCACATTTTCTGAAACATCCACATTTAAAGATGAAGTTGTTAGCCATGCTTGCACTTCCATTGTTGGTGGTATTACTAATCAACTGTGCAACACAGACCATGGCTGTCTCATGTGACCCCACACAACTTGTTGCATGCTTGAATCCGATTGTTAAAGGAACACCACCACCTTCAAGGTGTTGTAAAAAGCTCAAGGAACAGAAGCCTTGTCTGTGTCGATACGTGAAGGACCCAAGTTTTGGCAAGTTTGTCAACTCCCCTAATGCCAAGAAGGTAGCAGCAACTTGTAAAGTTCCGTTTCCTAAATGTAAATCTTGAATGTGTAACCAGTTAAAAATCAAGGCAATTATATATATACGTGAAACATTGGGTTTATTGAATAAAAGTATGCAATTCAAATTTATCTAAAGATGCAAGAAATTGTATATGGTTAAGTGTAACAAATTACACCTCATCATCAAAGATAAAATCGACAACTTCCTAGAAAAAATTTGTACATAATACACAAACACCGATACATTGAACAGAGACGTTGGCCTTTCGTGATATCCACAGGCCGAAAACAAGTTTCCAGTTAGTTTCATAAGACCCCTTGTGGTTTAATTACGACCATTACCGACCCAAAATATTTCGAAATAACAAACTATCCTACAGTTTCTTTTGAATCTGCTTTTCATTATTTAGCAACAATCGGAAAACAACCGGTTTACCCTTAAATGTAAAAGTGGTATTGAACTTGTTAAAAATATTTAGAAAATGTTCTTTTACATGCATCAGCTATTATGTTATACATTTTAGGTATGTGTGACAATTGATGACACAACATAAAAAAATACAAGACACGAAACGAAATTTGGACGAAACTGAAATTTGAATTCGTGTTCGTGTCAAATGTAAAAAACACGATGTCGTGTCGTCTCGTGTTCATGTTCAAAATTCGACACGCTTTAACATTTATTTGATGTGTTTTTCATGTTTGTCGTGGTATTATGATTAATTATTAATTTAATAAACTAATTGTTATTTTATGTTATCTTTGTCATGTCGTGTCATGTTTGTCGTTTTTTAATTGGTTCGTTTTCGTGTTACTTCAAAAAACAAGGCATCGTGTCGTGTCATATTCGTGTTGTATAAAACTTTGTCGTGTTGTGTCGTGTCAGATAAAAACACGACACGATGACCCGATTTCTCACCCCTAATTTTAGGTGCATTACATTAAAAACTAGGTAATTGAATTTAATTACTTTTATATAAGATACATATTTTGTATTAAAAATAAAATAAATCATTTCATATTCACATTATTATTAAATAAAATTACATGATTGATTCATATGGTTTACCATGAGTGACATAGTGAGGACAACTATCAGAATTGCTATGTGATTGGTCCATGTGGTTTAATTCCTTGTGTGCTTAATACATGTTGTTTCATTTTGTTTCTGATCTAAAATTACTACGTACTCTTACTTTTATTTTTACTTCCATTTTTAATTTAAATTAATATATTTAAAACCTACATTACTACAAAACAACCTTCTAATGACACGCGAACCATGACACATACTGTTTTATGATACGCAAAAGTATGTGTCCTAAAAATAATGTCAGTTCTCCTAAAGTTTGAAGAATTTAGGACATACATTTTTGCGTGCCCTAAAATTAGTGTCACAACAAAAAAATTTAAAAAAACGAAGGGAGCCTATTATAAAACGTGTGTCGTGTACCATGTAGTTTTATAATTTTCAAACGCGTATCTAACTATTAATTCCTATAACAAAATCGCAACCAGATTTCCTTCAGATTTGCAAGCCTTTTGAGGTAAAAAGCTCTCACCTTGATGCTCATTTGTGTTAGATTTACTCTATGGTGTTATTTGTGCATTTTTGAGTCTTTTGAGTTAAAGATGAGCTTTTGATCTACTCTAGAAGCAATGGATGCTAGATCTTAGCTCCATTTAGGCCCTATGTTCATAAAAATGCAAACATTATGGAGGATTGTTGTCCATGCATGTATTAAGATCTTTATTAAGCTCCTTTTTGAGCTGTGAGTCCCATTAAGTCATGCATGAGTGTAAAGCTGCCAACTTTACGTGATAAGTCACCCTTAGGAACCAAATCTAAGTGTTTGGCAAAAGGTCTTAATTGTTTAAGTGCTTAATGAGGAGGACTAGTGGTCAGGGGCGTACATTGGGCGTACGAGCTGAGTACACCCCGCATACTCAGCAGGTGGGCTTTTGGGCTTGGCAATCCTCGGTATTGGGCCATAGTTTGGGTTTGTAAGTTTGGACCTTGATGGGACATTAGACTCCTGTTTTGGACTTAGGACTAGTATGTTGGGCTTCCTTGGATTTAGGCCCATGATGGGCTTTGGGCCCAACTTGAAAGATTAGGCCATAAATTGGGCTTTGGATTGCCATTTAGGATTTGGTCCTTATAAGTAGTTGAGTTGGGCCTTGGCTTTGGGCCAAGTTAGATAAAGGGTAAAATGGTTTTTTACCCTGGTTATGGGCCAAGTAGCTTAGATTCTTGGTTATGGGTCGAAATCCAATTAATAATTGGATATTATTTTGATGATGATAGCGCGGGGATTTTCCGAACCAGCATGCAGAGATTCATTTGAGTGATTCAGCAGCTAGAGGTGAGTTTCCTCACTGTGTTTAGTGGGTCGGAGGCACCAATGTCGGCCCATGGTTTGCTTTGTTAGGATCCCATATGTCTGCGTGACTCTTGCATGTGTTATGTGCTTTTATGTATACCGAGCGGGGCCCGATGAACATTTTGTATGCTATTTACCTTTGTGATTATTGCATGTGTTATGTGTTTATCTGTTATATAATTATATGTATACCGGATGGGGCCCGATGTCGGGCGGCACCTGATGACTTACAAATCTGTATACCGAGCGGGCCCGATGCCTGGCGGGACCCATTATGTATTTATTATGTATGGTAGGTGGTATTTTGGGAAACTCACTAAGCTTTGTGCTTACAGTTTTTAGTTTATGTTTTCAGGTACTTCTTGTTTGAAGGGGAAGAGTATGTGATGATTGTAGTGCACACACCACCTCATTCCGCATTTTATGATTACTCTGATGTTTTTGGATGTATTTGATACACTTTGTTCCTCCATGGTCTTATGATGATGTTTGGATAATAGTTTTATTAATTTTAAAAACGAAAATTTTTGGTGTTAATTTTTGGGACGTTACATTATAGGGGACCGGTAGGTCAAGGAGAATTCTCAGGCCTTGGGCCAGCCCAATTCAGGCCCAACTAGCAAGGAGTTGGGCAAGGCCGCCGTGGGTGTCGTGTGAGGCTGGCAGGCGCGCACCACGCAAGGCTGGCGGGTGCGCACCAGGGAAGGCTGACAAGGAAGCCCCAGACCGGGCTGGAAGGAGAGTGTTAGGCAAGGGAGCGCCAGGGCGGGCTGACAGGAGAGCGTCAGGCAATGCTAGCGCGCCAGGGATGTCTAGGCCATGTTAATGAACCTAATATCATCAAGTCCCCCCGAGTTTGATGTGATTGGTACGCGGCCAATGACATTGGACTGGACTAAGTCATATAAACCGTACATCATTAATATATATATATATATATATATATATATATATATATATATATATATATATAAATTAAACTCGTGATTTCTCAAAAGCTTAATTGAGGGTGTATTTAGCACTTCATTTTGAAAAAGGGACGTGGAGAAATAATTAAATGTTAAAGACGACAAGAAAAGATTAGGTTCAAAGAGTCAAGAAAGAGCAATGACAACCACTTTATTTCAAGATTTGATTATTAATCTAATAATTAATATCATCACATTTATCACCACCATCAAAATTAAATTACTTTAAAATTTAAATGATGAAAAACTATTGTTACCATAAATAAATTATGCTATAAAACACATGTTTTTGAATATGTTTTATATTGAAAACTAATACAACTGAAATATGAAACTGCAAATGTTAATGTTAAGAGCGCTAATGTTTAAATGTTTTTAGAATAAATAAAATAGATTTTAGGTATTAGATTGTCAAGGAACTGTAATATCTTATTCATTTTATTGATATGAAATGAATTTGTTTTTTATTTTGTTTGCAATTTGTCTAAAGAATTTAAAGACAAATTATGTGACAAGACAAAAAAAGATAAAATGTATATGGTATGGTGTCACTACAAACAAAATTACATTTAGTGGTACAAGTTTTTAGTGGCATATTTATTTTTGTGCCTATACAGTATAATAATAAAATTACATTTAGTGGTACAAGTTTTTAGTGGCATATTTATTTTTGTGCCTCTATAATATAATATGTTTTCAGTGGCACATATTTTTATATGCCACTGTATCATGATTGAAAGTTCTAATTTTTGTTGGCCGCTAGTTATTTTCCTTTTAATTTTCATTTCCCGCTCCTGATTCCCTCCACTGAAAGCGTTGCACATACCCATTTTAGCTTCTAGGTCAAAACTCAAAAACACATTTGAAATTTTGGATCCTTGAAATCAAAATCCCTTCCAATTTCCAAAACCCCCGTCGCTCGTGTGTGTCATCTCGTTGTTTGTAGCTAGTAAATCTCGGCATCTCGTCGGTTGAAGCTCGTTTCAGATTAAATCTTTCTCGGTATATCGTTGTCGATTGAAGCTTTCCATATCTCATCAATGATTTCATCTTGTTTTTTTTGCCCCTTAAACAGGTACGATTTCAGATCCCCGACATTCATCTCCAACCCCGTATCTTGAGTTGTTATATTTCCATAGAAAATGTAATCGAAAAATCCCCGACAGTTCCCCAATCCGGGTTTCCCATTCCCCATTCGGTCCAGTGACCATGCTACTAATAATTTGAATTGTACTCTCAGTTCTCCCATTAGGTAATTAATAGAGCTTACTTTTAGGAACTTGACTTAGCCCTATTTCGTCTTGCTTTCTGCCCCTTAAACAGGTACGATTTCAGATCCCCTGCATTCACTTTGTTGACTTTCACAGTAAGTCAAGCAACTATCATTTGAAAATTTAGTTGGGTGGTTTTTCTGCATTGACACGTTTCTAATACCCAAAAATGTAGGATTTAGGCAGCAAGTGGATACTTTTGACTCCAATTCCAATAGTTGAATTTTTACAGCCTCTAGTCGTACGTCACCTAAGTTTTGGCTTCCAAGGGCCTCTTGTGCTTTTTCAAGAACTCATTGTAAGTATTTCCCATGTGTTTCTAAGCATAACTGCAAGTGTCTCTGTACCATGAACAAATACATTTTTAGAATCTTCCTTTGTACCTCAAGTTGCTCATGTAGCCTTCTTTGAACTTTAATTTGCATATGTATTGCTTCACTTATCTATAAGTTTCTGAATGGACATTTGTATAATTAGAAATTTAAAATCAACATTTGAGTGTATACATATGTAAAACTGAATAAATATATCTTACTTGTTTGGTTGAGGCCAAACACTTGAATTGCTCATGTGGGTTCCATTTGTTTCACCATTGGCATCTCCTGCTGGTGCAATCATACCTACAACCAGAATGTTTCCTATCATGTATCAAATTATTTTCTACTATAAATTGTCACAAAACATCTTAAAATGGATTCTTGGATTTCTTATCAACTTTATTTGTGGCACCACTATTATTTTTCAAGTATAGATTTTTACTGTGCCAGTAATTTTGCTAACCAAACATGAAAATTACTTTAGATTCATGCAAAACATGTTAAAAGGAATTCTGATCGAAGGTTTTCTCAGATAAATTTAATTGTTGTTGCAGTTCATGTGAAGCTTTTTTGTTGTGCTCAATTCCCTCAAAAGTCACATCTGGTGGTAATGTGGTATTCCTGCTAGCCTCTCATTTTTGGACATATGAATTCACCATTATACCCTTGGGTTTGTCTTTGCGTATCTTTATTTTTGAAGTTTATCTTTTGATGTTGTTTGGTGTTTTTTAGTTGTTTCTTTTTGTAATCAGTGTATTCATTTGGTCCAGAGCATTGAACAAAGGATCGGCCCTGCTTATAATTAACAGATACATCCTGAGGTTTTTTTATTGATTCTTTTTTTTTTCTGGACATTTTTACCCCTGGCTCTGTTATGAAGGTTTTCTCATATAATTTTTATTGTTGTTGACTTGACCATTATACCCATGGCTTCTACAACTAATTTTCCTTCCTAATCTTAGCATAAAACAATATCATACATGTGTTATGTTCTTTAGATTCGTTGTCATTATAAATAATATATTCATAACCATTTTATGTTTTGTGTTGCTTATGTATTTGTTAGGAATTACAAGGTCATGTACTTCACCCACTTTACGTGAATGATGCACCAGAACCATATTCACATACCATATCTTATTAAATGTATTGAAAAACGTACTTCTTTTCTTCATATTTACAATATTCTATTTCAATTTACTTCTATAATTGTGGAAACTTTTTAAATTAATGTTCTAATAAGAAATTGTCTATGTGGCGTAAAATATTACAGAAATGGTCATTGTGGCAGAAACTATTACAGAAAAGGTCCCTACGACAGAAAGTTGTTAGAGAAAAGGTCCTTGTGGTAGAAAATGTTGAAATGATCCCTGTGGGTTAGCTCATACACAACAAGCATTGAGCAATTATGTGAAGTTTGGAGATCAATCTAGTTTTGTTTTTTTCCTCAACAAATATTTAGTATGATAGTTTTATCTTTTGAGTGTTACTAGAATAACATTTAGACTTATTAATATTTTTTGAAGACTTTTGGTTGTTAAATATTGTTGTTAAACAAGATAAATTAGAATTTAAGCGATGATATAGTGTTTTCTATTTGTTATCTTATTTTTTATTTAATATTACATCTAAATTAAAAAATACCAAGCAAAATTTTCATTATCATTATTTTTGTGGTGAAAAAATGTGCCTAAAGCATGAAAATAGTATTTATATTACCAAATATATTAGCGGCATAAAACAAATGCCACTAAAACCTAATAGTTTTTAGTGGCATAATAAAAAAGTGTCGCTAAAACCCTATAAGGCTGCAGCGACACAATTGAAAAGTGCCACTAAAGGTCTTTAGTGGCAGCACTTTTAGTGGCACTTTTTTTTTGCCGCTGATTCTCCAGAGGACTTTTAGTGGCACTTTTTTGGTTTTTAGTAGCACTTTTTCTGTGCCACTAAATGTCATTTAGTTTGTAGTGTGTGGGGGGATGCGTATGTGGGCGTGGGTTAGATGGACCGGTGGATGGTAGATGTGGATGTGGGGGTGAGAAGGGGTAAGTGAGTCGGTGGGTGTGTTTGGGTGGGGTATATCTATTGTTATAGATGCTTGTATCGATGTAGATGTGGATAAGAGTATGCATTTGAGTGAGATGGATAGTGGGTATGGGTTTGAGAGATTTGATGATAATTTGTTTAATTTGATTAATCACATTGTAAAAAAAGTATGATACATTTTTATCCGAATGAATTCTAAAAATCTTTGTCGTTAGCGAAGAATGGAAATTCATTAAAACACCAACTTAATGAAATTTAAAAAACTATATATATATATATATGTGTGTGTGTGTGTGTTTTAATGAATTTCCATTCTTTGCTAACGACAAAGATTTTTAGAATTCATTCGGATAAAAATGTATAATACTTTTTTTACAATGATTAATCAAATTAAACAAATTATCATCAAATCTCTCAAACCCATACCCACCATCTATCTCACTCAAATGCATACCCTTATCCACATCTACATCCATACAAGCATCTATAACAATAGGTATATCCCACCGACACACCCACACACCCCCACCGAGTCACTTACCCCTTCTCTCTCTCTCTCTCTCTCTATATATATATATATATATATATATATTATATATATATATATATGTGTGTGTGTGTGTGTGGCTAGGTTATAATGTGGATGAACAACTATTGTACGGACGTGTGGACAGTGCTATTCTACGAGAATTACCAAAAGAATAGGTTGTTTAGTAATGTGAATACGTTCAACCTCACACAACTATCGTCATTTTAATGCATTCTCACTAATTCTTATTCATTTTTGTTCTCATGCATCGTTTTTCACTCATTTTCATTTTTACAGAATACGACTGAATAAACATTCTGACAACATTATTAGAGAATGAGAATAATAATAAAAAATCTATAATAACCTTATAGACGATTTAATTAGTGAGAATATGTAATAATGACAATTATGTAAGATTGAACGTATTCATATTATCAAACAACATATTTTCTTTGTTATTCTCACAAAATAGCACTGTCCACACGTACGTACAATAGATGTCAATCCACATTTGAACCTAGCTCTCTCTCTCTATATATATATATATATATATATATATATATATATATATATATATATATATGCCAAAAACAGCTCTTAAGGCTAAGCCCATGTGACTTTCATGAAAATGCTAACATGTTCCATGAAGGTGGATTCAATCCTTGTTCTAATTTTCCTATCTATTTAACACATAAACACGCCGTGATACTTTGTTTCACAAATTTATGTAATGGCTCTTGTATACGACAAATAACCTTATCTATTTTAATAAATTAAAATCTTTTGTCACATGTCACTTGTCACACGTCACATTCTTATTTATTTTGTCAAATATCATTTTGTGGTTATTTTAAATTAATTTTTTTCTACATGTCATTTTATTGTTTTTTCCATTTTATTAAATTTCACGTAGTATTTAAATGTAATAATTGTAATAAATCTAATAATAAATAGATATCAATTTAATTAAAGACTTATCTTCTAATTTCTAAATTTCTAAATTAAAGCTCAATTAGTTTTATTTGTTTATTTATCTGACTTGTATGTTTAATTCTAAAAAAGAGAAAAAAAACACTTTAGTTTTAATAATTCAATATTTTTTTTTATAAATTCAAGTTTTTCAAATATATATATATATATATATATATATATATATATATATATATATATATATATATATATATATATATAAACTAATGTAATACATGAGTATCGCAACTAGTTTAGTTTATAGACAAACTTGTTTTATAATGTTTTACCTTTTAACGATCATGTGTACATTCTAAAACATTTTGTAGGGATCCACTTAATCTGGGCATCTGCAAACAGTTAATTCATCTCTATGATAAATTTTAAAAAGAATTAGATGAAAAATTGGAATTTGATTTGTAAATATAAAACATATTAATTAATTTTCTAATATTAGTGGATTACAATGTATAACATAGATAATATTATCACTTAATATTTCCTTTTTTTAAAGACTATTTAAATAGCATCAACTAACGGTGTGGATTCTAGATTGTCTTTTATTTAAAATCACCAAAGAAGTAATAAGTTTTGGTTTTTAATTAAATACACTTGGGAGCATATTCTTCCAAATATCCATTTGAATGCTTATTGTAATTATTGATTTGGATTAGTCGATTTTAGAAGTAACAAAAAGAGTGGATCAATAATCGGTTAAAATAAATAAATATTTTATTTGAAGATAACATGAGTGGAGTTGAATTCATATGCAAATATATTACTTTTCAACATGCTAAACTTTATATATAAATAATATATTTTTTTAAAATTATATATGTATAATATAACGTATTTATCTTTTAATAAAAAAAAATGTATGCATTTTAAGCTGTATTTATCACGTTCAACTCTATAATCTTTAATTTTAGCTTTTTTTGGCGAGGCCTTTATTTTAGTTAGCTAGTTATAAATATATCAAAACTAGAACTACTTTAATATTATAACTTCTAAAAAATACATGACAATGAAACATATAACACTAAAACCGACACAAAATACATCCAATAATAATAATAATAATAATAATAATAATAATAATAATAATTAAAAAAGTAATAATAATAATAATAATAAAATTTGAGACAAAATTGTTCCCAAATCCCTAAATTAAAGTATAGCCAAGAACTATAAATGGATAAAACCTCCACCGGTGGTGTATTTAGTTATAATATCCACATAACCCTTGACACGTCACACTGCCTTCAGTTTTGACCTACCCTAGTCGCCATCTGATGACTACCCATATATTTCCACGTGGCTTCCACACCTTCCTCCCTATAAATACATATCACCTCCTAACCTTCCATGTCATCATCAGGTTCCACAACTACAGCATCCGCGGCGCCTCGATTGTTTTCGTTCTCATCTCCCTTTCTCTTTCTCAAACAACCGCCATGTCAACCTCTGATCTCGCCGTCATCTTACCTCGTGTCATCATCGTATCTAGACGAAGCCTTCGCAAGAACAAGTTCGTTGATTTCGTAGGTACGTATTAATTAATTTCTTTGCTAATCGATCCCAGCTGAATCACGAGAAATTCGATCTTTTTCTTTATGAATGTGGTTGTGCTTTTGATAAATTACTTTCACTCTTTTCATCAAATATTTATCATAATCTATCGTTTTTTTATGAACAAAAAGACGGAATCATGTCGATAAAACGATAACTAATTGAGATAGGTGTTTTCTTTTATTTATCAGGCGAATATCATCTAGATCTTATAGTCGGATATGGAGCTGTTCCGGTGATTGTACCCCGGGTGGCCGGTGTTCATACGCTGTTGCACAGTTTCGAGCCCATCCATGGAGTCCTTCTGTGCGAAGGAGAAGACATCGACCCATCGCTATACGAAGCTGAAGAAACCAATCTCTCCCCGGAAGAATTGGAAGAAATCCGGCGTCTGCATGTCAGCGACACCGCCATTGACAAAGAAAAAGATACAATAGAACTATCGCTCGCTAAACTTTGCCTCGAACGAAACATCCCTTATTTAGGAATATGTCGAGGATCACAAATCTTAAACGTCGCATGTGGTGGCACCCTTTACCAAGACATCGGGAAAGAACTAACCAAAAGTCGGCCACAAGAAAACAAAGTGATCCATATGGATTACGATAACTACGATGGCCATCGTCATGTGGTTGAAATTGTAAACGACACCCCTTTGCATCAATGGTTTGAAGAGTCTTTAGAAGACAACATGGAGATTCGTGTCAACAGCTATCACCACCAAGGAGTCAAGAGGCTGGCCCACCGGTTTAAGCCGATGGCTTTTGCACCAGATGGTTTGATCGAAGGTTTTTATGATCCCGATGCTTATAATCCTGAAGAGGGTAAGTTCATCATGGGTTTACAGTTTCATCCTGAGCGAATGAGAAAACAAAATTCAGATGAATTCGATTACCCTGGATGCTTTGCAGCTTATAAGGTAATTATATTAAACAGTAAACACCATCGTCCCATTTCAAAACCAGATAATCTAAATTTTAAGACATTATGTAATGAATTATATGTAACATGATGTGTAATGTTGCAGGAATTTGTTAAAGCGGTTGTGGCATATCAAAAGAAGCTGAATAGCACAACAAAGGTGCCAAAATCTTTAAAGCTTGATAAGGACTTGGAGGAAAAGAGAAAGGTTATTGTTCGAAGCTTTTCTCTTGCAAGAAACTTATATGAAGGAGGTAGCAATATTCGTCAACCTAAAGAATCTGATCTTAGACCAGGAGCAGAATTTCTTGAGGTATGAAATATGTACAAATTAATTAATAGTTGGTTTCATTTTTTGATTTTTTAATTTTTTTTTAACGACTTTTGGAATTGGTACGTGTTTCAGTCAAATATAGCATTGAGTTTGCAACAAGAGACGAGGTTGAAGCAAATGGGAGCAACAGTGAGGAATGCATCTTCATACATGGAGAGATTGAAGTTGAATGAAGATAGAGAGAAATTGGCAAGAGTTGTGATGGGGAAGATGACAGTTGAACAGTTATCTGATTTAAATATCTTCTATCACATGATGGGCCAGATTTGTTCTGAAATGCTGGAGAAACATCAGCTTCATAATTAATCATCTTTTAGTTTTTCTTATCAAGAATCACATGAATCTTGATGAATTAGCAATAAAGATCAATCCTTTTCTCTTTTTGTTAACTACCTTTCTGAAAGATGTCTTGAGTGTTTTCATGATCAATAACATGCATCTATCTATGTTTTGTCACTATCTTCCACCTCCTTTGTTGTTGCTTGACAGTTGGAAATTGGCCTGTATTGGTCAACGATGTCATATTAAATGAAACAACACATCTAATTTACTAACAAGTCAAAATCAATTTCCCTTTTTATCCAACTAAAGTCAACAAAATCATACCTAAATTGATCATGGAGCGAATTTTAAAACTTTGTATTAAAAATGATAAAGATGTTCTCACATTTCAAAATTTTCAGTGAGATCGGCCCATCAATACTATGATGAGATGGATCTGACTGAAATAAACTCGAAATTGTTTGGTTGTTAATTTTATCAAAATTTTAGCTGCAATTTCCCGATATACTTTAAGTTCACAAAATTTTCACTATATAAACATTTTTTCATATGGACTTCTTCATTTTTTAACAAAATTGATATTGTTCTTATTTGATTATCTTCGTGGAGATGCTCTCTTTTCCGCAAGTAGGCCATACATGTTCTTATGTCTAAATGACCAACAAGTTAGATTAAAATTTGAAGAGAAGCTCGTTACATGTGTGTGTTCCTATATATATATATATATATATATATATATATATATATATATATAGAGAGAGAGAGAGAGAGAGAGAGAGAGAGAGAGAGAGAGAAGGAATCAAGGGTACTCTTAAACATAGTTGGACACTGCATCGATTTGTTTTGAGAGATAAGGCCCATCAGCACATATACTCGTTTTGAACCAATTTCACTTTTTTAAAAATCGGTTTTTTAAACCGAATCGTTTTTTTCAGAAAAACCGGTTTTATTTTGGTTAAAAACACCATTTGATTCAGTTATTGTATGAAAATCGAAAAAAATTAATAATAATAATAATATAATAAAAACATATATATAAAAAACAGTTTCCAATTTTTATAAAAAAAAAACGGTAAGATTTTTTCCATTATGTTATTAAAAAACCCATTTGAAATGTGCACTCTATTACTAACTCTAATAGGATGAAATTGTGGACTCTTGCCCACTTACGAATTAGCGAGCCCAATTAGCGAAAATAGCTGTAGTTTTTTTTTTCTTAAGTACGCTGAGTAGGCTTTTAGATATATATATATATATATCTATATATATATATATATATATATATATCTATATTATATATATATATATATATATATATATATATAAAAGCTAGCATTTTTCCTTCAACCTCATGCATTTGAAACCCCCAAAAAAATTTGCAAACACCTCATGCATTTGAAACCTCATATTTTAATAAATACCACTCAAAAGTCTCTTAATAATGATTAACAATTCAAAGGTTTTATAACTTATATAATATATTTAATAAACAATTAATGGATACTCTACTATAAAAAGGTCAATCTTTTTGACTAGATACACAAATACAAATTACATACAAAATTCACAAAGAAAACAAGTTTAAATTTTTTTGTGTTGGTTTGAAGACTTTGAACAATTTTTCGAGTCATGTTATTATGTTGAAGTTTTTAATTTGTAAGTTTGTTATATACTAATTCTTTTTTTGTATTCTTTTTTTGTATTTTCTTGATTTAAGTATTCTTTTAAGAATATCATTGTATGTTGTGGTTGAAATTTTAATGTAAATTAGATTAGATTCATGTTATCGATCATA